CCTTGAAAGCGGCGCTGTGTGCACCACCCGTTGCAGACGGTGCGAAGGTAAACTGCACCTGCTTTCGGCGCCGCGCTGCGTCCGAGCAGCCTGAAAACCTTCGTGGCACGAGCGGCTCGATGCCCAGGCGGCGTGCTCATCTGCCATCGGTCCAGCCGACGTCGCAAGCGCAATTGCGCCGAACACCGGGGCGTGGTGCGGAAAAAGGCGGCCACTCGCCCCTGCCAGCCGTCGCCGGGGGTCCGACAAAATGTTGGCGGGGAGGTCGGCCGCCTTGGCGCGCAGAGCGCACTCAGCCGCCGCCAGCTTAGACAGGAAGCTTTGCCTGGCCCACTGCCTCCACCAACCCGCGTGGCCGAGCGAGCAAGTGGAGCGCACGGCGGGGAACAGCGCGGCCGCGCGAGCATGGACGTTGAGTCCGCCGCGTGCGCGATTCTCAAAAGTCGCGGTTTTCGCCTTGGCGGCAAGCGCCGTCGCGGCCAAGTCGGGCAGCGCACTCAGGAAGTTCAGACTGCGAAGGTCCTTGAGACAGGGAGGAATGATCCACCCCCGCGGACCCGGAAGCAACGCTCGGCAGGCCTTCGCCCCAAATTCGTTAAAATTCGGGGGGAGGTCCTCGAGTTGGGCAACAAAAAGCCAAACAGAACAGACATACACTCTGTACGCTTGCATCGTGAGACAAAGTCCAAGGCCCAAGCGGCCCAACGTGCGGGCCCGCTCTATATATTTGGCCAACGCGCTGTCCCAAGACAGGGTGGCTCGGCCTGGCCCCATTTTTTAAACAAACAAAAACTTGGCGGCAGCCTAAATCCGAACGCCGGTCCACTCGGGCGCCCTCCCCGCCACCTGGGCGTGCAACTCCTGCTCGCTGTACCGGTACAAGGGCACGAGGCCGGTCTTCTGGATATTCAGCGCAAGCCCGGACACTGCCTCAAAGTCTACGAATAACGTCTGCCGGGTGCCCAACCAAGCGAGACCGTCGCACAGCAACATGGCGAGGTCGTCAGCCCACGCGCGCGACCGCGCGGCAGGGGCGACGCGCCCAAGACGACGTAGCATAAGGTCGGCGGCCATAGCAAACGATACTGGGGTCAAGGGGCACCCCTGCCGAATCCCGCGGGCGATTGGGAATCCAGGATATCTCTCGCCGTGAATCTGAATGACGCAAGTGTTGTCCAAATACAGAATGCCGACGGAATTGAGTAACCATCGTGGCCATCCCAGCTCGGCGAAAAATGGCAAGAAAAAGGAGCCCGCGATCGACGGGAACGCCACCGCGAAGTCCTATAACAGCGCCATACCAGTCTCTACCTGTGCCCCAGCGTGGATCATGGCTTCGTCCACATCCAGGATATTAGCGATCATCGAGCGCCCCGGCAGAAACCTCCTCTGGTCCTCCAAGATGCGCGGTTCGATGTTCGGCTCCAAGACCAATCGAACAGCGCTGGCAAACAAGCGGTTATCACAAGTCGTGGCGTTCAGCGGGCGCACACCCGATTCCAGAAAAAATGAATGCGCCAGATTCGGTGACCCACTCCGCCTTCTTAGGGAGGAAAAAGAGAAGGCTTCCGTTGAAACCGGGGTAGTACTGCCGAAGCTTGTCGGGGCCGTTGTCCTGCACCAACTCCTCAAAGGCCTCGAAGAGCGCGTCGACCGCGTGTCCTGCAACAGCGCGCCCCGCCCCGCAGGGGATCCCGTCGGGGCCCGGCGCAGAGTTGTTGGAGAGCTTCAACGCCTTCTGAAAATGCCGCCGTCGTAGCTGCAAGCTTTGAAGATCAGTGTGGGGTGATCCCTGCTCCGCTCTGCCAGCTGCGTCTTCATCCAGCCACGCCGCCAAGCGGGGCTCGTCGACGCCGCGAGCACGAAGGGGTCCCAGATATGATCGCGCGGTTTAAACAAATCAGGAGGGGATGTTTCTGCCAGTTTTCGGCCCCGGGGGGCCCTCGCCGAGCCTCGGGGCCGTCAAACAACGACTCGGGACGAAAAACCGGTCCCGGGGAAAGGGTCGGGACTTCCAGGGGTCCTTCCTGAACCAATCAAGACGTCGCATGTCTGGGGTCCTGGCAGAAACTGAAAGATTTGGCGGAATTCCCCCGCCGATGTCGGCAACCGGCTGGGTTCCCGGGTTTCCAATTCTGGGTTCCCACGTTCCTGGTCATTTGTTCCGGTCCGAGTTCGGTGGGTTCCGGGCTCCTGGGTTCCCAGGTTCCCGTTCGATCTCCGTATCGATCTCCTTATCGATCCCACGGACCAAAACCATCCACTGGTTGGGGCTTGTCTGATGAAATTCGAACCATCGGGATTGCCTGCCTCGGCGTGCAATCGTCCGTGCGAGGACGTGAAAGGCCGCGCGTGGACATTAAAGTCGAGCCACTTCCATCGACCCGATGACGCCGAGGACCTCGCCCAACAGATGGGACATGGAACGGCGAAAATGCATCACAGTTAGGTCGGGCGTGTCCTCCTACAGGCGGATTTCGGACGAAAAATACAACATTGTAAACCAACAGCCCAAACGAATGCTCCATATTACAACAAACATCGCCCCCATACTATTTTTGTTACTACTTTTCAGTGTCGTCCTGTGGAGGGACGTGCCCGACTTAACATCGCAGTTTTGTGCGCCGCGGCGCAAGTCCATCGCCGGCAGCGCGGGTGACCACCTCGCAGATCGCCGCCGCGCACCTGCGGCCCAGGCCTCGGGCCCAGGCCTCTCAGGTCCCGCTGGGGGGCCCGCCCACCTGCGCGGTTTCCCTTGGGGCCGTAGGCGACCCGAGGAGGATATTTTTCCACGGCGAGCGGCAGCCCACGCCGCGTCGCGCACGGCCGACGGCGCGGCCGCGGCGCCCCGCCCACGCGGGCGACGGGCGAGACCGCCCGCGCGCGACGGGGAAAAGCCCCGCCCCACGGGCAGGCGGGAGGCCCCAACCGAACGGAACCGCCCCCGCGAAGGGGGAGGCCGAACGGCAGGGCCACCCGCACGCCCAAGGGGCAGGGCAAAAAAAGGACCCGGACCCCGGGACCCACGAAACGACGACGACGACAACGACAACGACACGACACGACGGGGAGAAGGACCGCCAGTCCCGCCCCAAGGCGGCGAGTGCGGGGAGTGAACTCCCGCACCGCCCTGGCGGAGGCCACGGGACCTGGCAGCCCCCCGGGAAGGAACGCCCGGGCGCGGGGGCTTGGACCCCGAAGGCCCGGTGCTCCCCGCCTGCACCAGGGGGCACTTTGGCCCGACACCCCGCTCATGGGGGTGCCCCTCCGGGGCGCGACCCGAGGAGGAGGAGGAGGAGGAGGAGGAAGAGGAGGAGGAGGAGGAGGAGGAGGAGGAGGAAGAGGAGGGGGAGGGGGAGGGGGAGGAGGAGGAGGAGGAGGAGGAGGAGGAGGAGGAGGAGGGGAGGAGGAGGAGGAGTGGAGGAGGAGGAAGAGGAGGAGGAGGCGGAGGAGGGGAGGAGGAGGAGGAGGAGGAGGACGGGTCGCCCAAGCCCTCCGGAGAAACCCTCCAGGCCCACCTTGAGGCCTACGCCCCAGAGTCAGATTTCTACTACAACGTTCGGTGGCTTCATATTTGGGCGCCCGAGTTATCCGGGGTAACTCGGGCCCGGGTTAACTCGGGTTCGGATTCCCTAACAAAAAACAGCCGGACTCAGCCCTGACCCGAATTGCCTTTGATGATTCGGGGCTCTGGGCTCCCGAATTATCCAAGGGTAACTCGGGCCCGGGCTAACTCGGGTTCGGACTCGGGGGGGGGAAAAAACAACAACAACAACGAACCCGAGTTAGCCCTGACCCGAGGAAGGGAGGTCGACCTCTCGATGCCTCGAGGGCGAGGCCATTCGTTCCCCTTCTGCTCCACCCTACGTCGTGCTTTTTAATCATGACGTCGACCCTCCAAAGGCTCGACCCAATGTCGGGGACTGGTTTTTATTCCAAAGCGGTTTTGTTTGACGGTCCACGCGCCCGGCAAGGCCCCCCCCGGCCTGAAAATTGAGATAAACCTTCCGTCGCGATTTTCATGAGCCAGCGGGGTCCAGGGATCGCGCGGGCAAAAGCTGCCGAGCCCACGGCGCCCCGAACGCGATTGATAGCCCTCCGTCGAAGGAGGAGAGCGGAGGAGGAGGAAGAGGAAAGAGGAGGAGGAGGAGGAGGAGGAGGAGGAGGAAAGAGGAGTAGGGGGAAGGGGGCGAGAGTTGAAGCGCCAGCCGACGCTCCTGGAATATCTTCAGGAAGAAGGGGAATAACAAAAAACATGCGAAGAACGAATGGTGTAGGTGAGACGTGAGAAAGATGGTTTTGCAGTATGTGTTGCTACACTCCTCTGGCGAAGAGCGGTCCGCTTCGAAGCTAAATTGCGACGGAGGCGCGCGCGGAGGGGGCGAAGCTAAGCACTGAAGAGATTAGGGTGTAAAACTCCCGATCCACTGGGAGGGCGGGGGAAGGAGGAAAGGGGGGGAAGAAGAGGCGAGAGGAGGAAAGAGAAGGAGGAGGAGGCGTTAAGAGGAGGAGGAGGAGCAGGAGGAAGGATGAGGAACGATGATGATGATGCTGATGCTGATGCTGATGATGCTGATGAAGATGAAGATGAAGATGAAGATGGAGATGAAGATGAAGATGAAGATGAAGATGAAGATGAAGATGAAGATGAAGATGATGATGATGATGATGATGATGATGATGATGATGATGATGATGATGATGATGATGATGATGATGATGATGATGATGCTGCTGCTGCTGATGATGATGATGATGATGATGATGATGATGATGGTGATGGTGATGATGATGAAAGAAGGAGAGGATGGAGGAGGGAAGAAGATAAGAAGACTGGAGGACGAAGGAAGAACGAGGAGGAGGAAAATAGATGCGGTAAGAAGAGAAGGGGGACGGAGGAGAAGGAGGAGGGAAGACGAGGCTGGGCCAGGCAACGTAGGGTAGGGGAAGGATGAAGGATAAGGCGGAGGGGAGATGGGCAGTTGTCCCTCTTCCGCAGCCTTCCAGACCAACGAGGCCTGGTCGTCTGCAGACAAGCCCTCCAGGTTCCGCTTCACCCGCGCCACCTTAGGGGCTCTGGCTCCGCAACGATTGGGGCCCTCCACTCCACCGGGGAAAGTGGGCCATCGAGGAAGGAGGCGGGGCTGGTGGCGGATACGACACGCGACGCCGACCACTAACGCCATGATGGGCGATTCTCCAGTAGGTGTTGTGCGCGCTCTTGCTCTCAAAAGCGCGCTGCAGCGGGCCCCGTGAGTTTGCAACACTGGCTGGAGGGACTTGGCGCGCTGAGCCTCAGGGTTTGGAGGAAGCGCAGAGGCCATGCCCCGTGCACCAGGGCCGCGGCCATGGCCCCTCGCAGGGGCCGACCTGGCCCGATGCAGCCACCGACGCACGAGGTAGCGGCAAGGATCTGAGGCCACTGTAGGGTAGCCGTCTTTGACAAAGGTGTACGGCGATGAGTGCTGCTGAAATGAGCAACATAGCGCTGGGACACGGGGAAATATAACTCCAGAGGAAGCTAGGTACTCCACAGTCGTCTGAGCCGCATACGGACTCGGGGAATGAAGATCATTGAGGGCCGCACCTGATTCACCAAGGGGAGCGTCATAGAAGGAGCGTCAGAGAAGGAGGGTCAGGCAAAAAACGAGGAGGAAGGAGAGGGAGGAGAGAGGCGGAAGGTGAAGGCATGAGGCGGAGGGAGGAGGATGCACGGTTTCTCCCGCGGCCGTAGGCGAACCGAGGAGGAGGAGGAGGAGAAATGGAGGAGGAGGAGGAGGACAAATGGAGGAGGAGCAGGAGGCGGTGGACGGGTCGCCTAAGCCCTTCGGAGAAACCCTCAAGAGGAGGAAGGGCAACGAAGGGGAAGCGGAGGCGGCGAAGCGGAGGCGGCCCCGTCTCGTCGTCTTACGATGTGCTCCTCCACTCTCCTTTCCTTTTACCGACCCCTCCACCCACGCGCTCCTCCTCAGTCACGTCCTGCTCCCCGTCTGCGTCCTCCTCTTCCGCTCCCTCCTTCTCCTTCTCCCCGTCCCTCTCCTCCTCCCTGAGGAGACAGGGCAGGGTAAGCAGCATGCGGAATCGCCTGGCCCTGTGAAGGGGCTCCCAGTCATGGATGGGATGAGCGACGGGGCCGCTCGAGGCGTGCACTGCTGTAGTTTCGCTCGCACAATCTTCTTCCTCGTCCTCCCCCGCCTCCCAGTCCTCTTTTGCTCCTCCTCTCCCGCCTCCTGCGTCTCCTCCCCCTCCGCCCCCTGCCCCACCCGCCCGTGCCATCTCCCGCTCCCCCCCCTCCCCGAGCTCGCGTCTCCAAGTACCCATCAGGGCTTAACCTAAACGGTGTTTTTCGTTTCGTTGTGTTTTCGTTTTGCCTCGTTGTGTCTTGAGTTCGCCTTTGCTGCGAAACGACATCGAAACGAAAACGGCCCACGAAATCGCAAAAACACCGTGTAGGTCCACCCCTGGTACCCATTCCACCGGACACCGCCCAGGAGCCGAATCAGCTGCAGGAGGACGGGAGAGACGACGAGCAGTGATCTCTGCAGTGGACCTCGGCGCCTGGAGGGGAGGGCGCCACATCACAGCCCTTCTCGAACTCCCTCGCCCTATAGCGCGCGACCGTCCCACCCAGCGAGACGGAGGTCGCGGGGAGGGACACGCGAGCCGCGTGTCCCCTACAACCAGCCTCGAGCTGATCCCTATACCCCTAAGATCGGCAAGCCCACAGGCGATGGCAATCTAGGGGTGCGCCCCCCAGAAACTGGGGAAATCCTTAATCTTGGCATCGAGGTGAGATGATGCCAGCCGTGAGCATATAGGGATAGGCTACAGGCAAGCAGCTCGTGCCTTCCCCCTCGAAGTCTGACATCTAACGCGAATTCTCCCTGGTAACACATCACCGAAGCCAAGCCCTCACATTTCAGGCGGGACCGTCAAGAAGCGGCGGCAAACCCGGGTCCTGGCAAGCGCGAGTCTTACACACGTTTCCCAAGACCTCGGCCTGCCTCCTCCCCGCCTCGCGCTTGGAGCTTGGAGGCGGCCGCTTTCGGCTTCGGCCCGTCTCGGCTCCCTCGGTCTGCTTCGGCTTAGGCCCTGTTCGGCTTCGGCCCGTTTCGTCGTGGCCCGCTTCGGCTCTGGCCCGAGCCGTCGCGGGCCGAGCCGAAGCGCGCGGAAGCCGCAACGGGCCGAGGCCAAAAAACTGGAACGGGCGTTCGACAAGCCGCAGCGGGCCTCAACCGAATTGGGCCCTCGTGGGGTGTCTCTCCTCGTCCTCCTCGTCGTCCTCCTCCTCCTCCTCCTCCTCCGCCTTCTCCTCCTCCTCCGCCTTCTCCTCCCCACCTCGCGCTTCGAGTGGTCGCGGTAGGTCCTGATGGCATCCAGGTGCCCCTTCGCCCAGTGCGCCGCCATCGGCTGCTCCGCGCCCCTCCGCCCGGCCGAGCGGGTGTGGGAGCGGGCGAGGAGCGGGCCGGCTGCTCATTGGGCACCAACGCCCGCGGGCGGCGAGCCGAGCGGTGAGAGTTGCCGCTAGACTTGTGCGCCCCGATGCACAGAAGCACTGCTGGGCCGATGTGCCGCCACCACGACCACAGGCAGCAGAGGGAGGAGGAGGAGGAGGAGGAGGAGGAGGAGGAGGACCTTTTGGACCTTTTGCGCAGCACAGCGTGCTAAAAAGGGGAGGGGAAAACAGAGGAAAGGAGGCCAAGCACCTGCACCCGTGGTGGCTACTCCGTAGCAGCCACCCCCAGCGCCTCCTCCTCCCCACAAGGGGAGGAAGGAACGTGGGAAGGTACAGGGCTTGCCCTCCTGGCACGCTGTGCTGTCTCCCTGGCGACGCATGCGTCCACAATCCTCGCATGCGAAATCGCTCGCGAAGCCTTCGAAGGCCCCGCATAGCTCGGAAACAGCCCGCGTTTAATTCGGCCGAGGTTCTCGCGACCTTTACGAGTGGGGGGCTCGCACTCGTCGGCCAATTGGCGACCGTCAACGGTCGCTGTCCGACCGCATCGGAAGCAAAAATGCAAGGAATGCAAGTCCCAGAATCCCAGACGGTGGGATGGGTCGATCTCCTGCCCACCGGCGGAAACGCCGCCACGAGCCGCGGCCACAACATCCCGAGGAAAACCAGGAGGGACGGCCTGCGGCGAAAAGCACTCCGTCTTCAGGGCCTCTAAGAGGCCCTGTCGGGACGAAAGAACAGAGCACCGTTGGCACCTGAAACGGGACCCAACAGGAATAAACCTATGCGCGCTGGCCCTCGCTGCGTGCTCGAGGCGGCGGGTCTCGGCGGTCTTCGGGATCGGGCGATCGACATCCGTCGAAGCCTTGGACCGCTTGGGATCCGCCGAAGAAGCTTCCGCCAGAGCCCGCCTTGCTCGTCGACGCACCAAGGCAGCGGTGAGGTCCCAAGCGTCGGTGGCAGGAGCAGACTGGGCGGCCAGGGTCCAGGAACGCTCGGCGGCCTCGGATGCCGCTTCGTCAGCTAACTGGTTACCGCTGGCTAGAAAAACTTCGTGATAGGTGAGGGAGGGGTCGTCAGGAGAGAGGTGCGAGGGCGTCCATTCGACCGAAACGTGCCCAGGGCCTCGGTCATCGATGGCGCATCGAATTCGCAGCCACAAATCGCTGTTCCTCCCTCCCAGGCTCCAGGGCCGACCCCGACTCCAACCCGTCATAAGTGGCTTGTGGTCGGTCACAAAATGGACGGGACCTGAGGTGCCTTCCAAGAAGAGAGCGAAAGCCTGCAGCTCCGACCTGGGCACAGTTTGCGAAGGGCCTCGCCAAATCTCAGAGATGCCCCCCAAGACGGCCCAACGCAAAGGTCCTTCCCCAGGTCGCGCGTCCCTGACCACAACGACGGCGGAGCCACACCGACGGCGACGAGGGTCGGACGAAAAGCGTCCTCCAGAACCGTCCCCGAAGCCGGTCAGCGGGCTACTGCCAGGGTCTCTAGAGCAAGCCCCAAGCGGGACCTCACCTAATTGAGCTCTGCTCAGGCTCTCCGACGGCTCCCTGAAAACAGGGTGGGTGACACGGGTTGGCGGAACACCTCGCAGCCAAAGGCTTGGTTCATATTCAACAGAGGCTAACGCTTGGGGAATCAAATGATCATTAGACGTGAAATCACTGTGGTCTTTGTCGCAGGGGCATCGCCAAATGCGGTGCGCAAGAGTTTCGTCCTCCTGCTGGCACCGCGGGCACAGACGGTCTGAGGGCTCGCTCAGTGGGTGCTGCCTGTCCATCGTCCACTGGGCGCCCGTGACCACGCACAAATTGAGGCCGAACAGGTCGAGCTCCCCCCTCTTGGCGTAGCGACTGAGCTCCAGTCTGGGCCAATAAAGGTCAGCTCCTTCAGCCAAGCAGTCCCCTGCAACATGCGCCGATGCATTGCGCCAAAGTTGAGCGCGAAAATCAGTGACCACGTCGTCCAGCAGCTCGGAGTTGTCGAACCCAGTGGGGTTATAGCCTGAACGACGTGCGGCTGGAATCTGCCACTCCTCGATTCCTCCATCAGTGGGCCTCCTCCAACGGAGGACCGAGGGTGCTTCCCATCCCGCGTCAAGCAGGGTCGCAATAACAGCTCCAATGGGTCCTTTGACCAATCTCCATCTTCTGCTGGCGCCAGCTGCGAGAAGCCGCCGATGAATGACCGTCCAAGCGTTTTCAACTCGGTGGTGAATGCTGGTGTCGGTCTTCCAGAGACAGAGAAATTCTGAAAGAAGGCCTCGACGCAGCTCCAGGGCAGGGTCCTTGGGGCCGTAAAGAACCGCCAGAGTGGTCGTAAGACACCTGCCCTTCATGGGCCCAGCTCCAGCCGAGGCTGCCTGCCGCCTGACGGCGAGGACGTTGGACGGCGACATGTCATGGGCCTGGTGCCCGTAAGAGCCGTGAGGAGCTGCGCCTGTGGTCCAGAGACCTTGAGCTTCTCGTCGAAGAGGGGCATGTCTGCGTAGACGGGCAATACGAGCTGCCCTCCTCTTGCTGGCGGTCAACCTCATTCTGGCCTTAATGACTGTGCGCCGCTTGCCAGACGCCGCATCGATGCCAAGGTCCGTGCCGTGCAAGCCGTACCGCACAGGGATGCCTCGCTTCTGCAACTGAGCGGCCGTCCTCCTCCCATCCTGAGGGACGGTGGCAATGAGGACTGACTTGTCCGAAAGCGTAAGTCGGAATTGAGTGGCGAGGTCGGCAAGAGTGACCGTAGCGTGGAGGATCTCGGTTTGGACCTTGGCTTGCGTGCCTTCTGAGCGGGCAACCGCGTCGTCAATGAAGGTCCAGAAAGTGCTGAAGCTCGCTCTGCGATGTGCCGCCTCCATCAATGGATGTAAAAACACTTTGGCAATCCTTACCCCATGTGGGGAGCCTGCAACAAGAGATCTGGTGGCGAAGATGGCATCAGCAACGCCAAGAGAGCCCCGCAAGAACCGAGGCCCAGCGCACATCTCCAGCTCCAGCAGAACCGCAATCGCTGGGAACTTGAGATCGAGTGCAGCTTGGCCAATGAGGACCCAGGATAACGAGTCGAAGAACTTCTCGAAGTCCAAGAGCAGGGTCGCCGCCGAGATGCCGAGAGCCACTGCGGACTCATCGAGCAGCGCTCGCAAGAGCCCCGCTCGGAGCGAGCTGCTGCCCGCCACTGCAGTGTCCCAGAAGTCAGAGAGCTCCTTAGTCCAGGTAGACGTAACGCCTGCTCTCACGC